ATTTAGAAATCGATTTGGAGCTAAATTATTATATATACTTCCTGTTTTTTCTGCAAAAGTGCAAAACGCTGATCAACTGTATCCTGAAAAGTAATAGGCGAGATCACACCTATGGATATTAACAATATCAATCGAACCATTACCATTTGTTTTACTTTTATATAACTCAAAAGGGCCTGTTGGTTGCAAACTATCATCAACAGATAAAAATGTTACAGCAATTGTCCAATCTCCAGTAAATTGATTACTATCAGTAGTTGTTTTTGTGTCAGTTGTACAAGTTACCATGGCATAACTTCCATCTTCTCTTGAAAAGAACTTTGTAATGTTTGGGTTAAAGTTGGTTATATCTGTTAATTTTCCAGTAGAAGTTTCTAATATTGTACCAGTAGAAATATTTCTATGTAATACGAAAATAATTAGGGGAAAGGTAATTTGAAATAGGGAAGAAAAAAATTTTTGAAATTTAAAATAGGAATTGGATTACTTACGGTACACTGTATTTTGTCCAAATGATTTCTTTTGTATCTTTAACATAACACACACGCAAAAATCCATCATCTTTTTTATGGCTTTGAATAATTATACTGTCATCACATACATTCTCAAATTCAATATTACTAATTATTATATTTATAGATTTAGAATCTGGTTAGATGTGAAATCAATAAAATAGTAAAGTTTACATACAAATCGTTTGTTTACCTTACTAATTCACCAGTCCAAGTAACGACATCACCACAAACTTTATTAGAAATGGAATGATCACAAAAATAATTTATTAATATATATTTATAAGCTATAGCATTTATTGTAATGCTATCACCACTACTGCTACCACCACTACTTTGTTTACTATTAGCAACCAATGCAAGTTTGTAGCAAAAATTTTCCCATGGAATGTTCAAATTATTTAAATTTAAAGTTGTAACAGTTTCATTTGTATGGACTAATCGTAAATAGATTGTATTCTCATTACAGTAATTTAAAGGATTCAACAATCTTAATAAAATTGTTCCATCCTGATAATTAATCCCATCAACTACTTTGAGGCCATTGTTGCTTGATTCAACATGATTTATTGCAGTCTCATATGCAAAAGTCGGATTAATTATTATATCAAAAATTGAAGAACTGATGAAAATCAACGTAAAGAACAATTTCACTTTCCAAATATTTTTAATAATAATAATAACGTAATTATGATTCACATACATTATAGAGAAAACTTTATTGCTCACTCTTTGATATTTTTATTATTATTATTATTTATATTAGGAGAGGTGAAATTTTTTCA